GCAGCATCCCAAGTGGCCCAGTACTCCTAGAAGAGAAACATTTCTTCTTAGGCATTCAGCAAAATGACAATCCCAGCATGTGCCAAGAAAACCAAAGTGTTTCTTCAGTAGAATAAACCATTACAAAACCACCAGTTCTGTTTCAGCTCCACATGCCTGGATGATTGAGTTGACGTGAGGAAGGTAACCTGCAAAAAATTCTGCCATAGAGTAGAGGGTAAGTTCAATGATCTCTGGATTCATTCTTTGCTCATATTGTAATTTCATGTAAATATTGTCCTAAGTTGTCACCGTTTGGAACGTTTTTAAAAACATGGAGCACCATCTACAGGTGGAATTTGGAACATACAGGCTGCCCTGCACATATTTAATAGTGAAAATGGTTGTCATTGGCCCAGTTTACTGAGAGTACTTACTACTACCAATTAGTGGTTGATGAGAAATGGCTTCTTTGCATGCCCAAGAGTAGTGATGCCACCTTGAGAAGGTTGTTACCGGCCTCCAATGCAGTGAGAACCAGTGTGGTAGTCAGAGTGATGGGACGGGGCCCTGGGAGATCTGGGTTCGAGTCCTCACTCAGCCATGAAGCTTACTGGGTTGACTTGAGCCAGCCACTCCCCCTCAACCTAATCCACCTTGCAGGGTTGTTATTGTGATTTTTTTTTTAAGGGAAGTTCTAAAAACACAAATACAAAAATAAAAAAGGAGCAGAGCAGAGCAGCCAATGTGGCTTCCCAAAAGCTTAGAGATGATCTGAAAACCAAAAAGGACACATATGAAAGTGGACAGAAGGCTGGGCTACAAAGGAAGCCTACAGGCATAGAGCATGAAATTGCAGGGATGGCATCAGGAAGGCCAAAGATGAGAATGAACTGTAGTTAGTGAAGGATGCTAAAACAAAAAGTCTTCTTCTGTTACTTGAGGATACTAAAAGGAAATAAATAGTTGTTCAGCTACTCAATAAGGATAATGAAATGATAGATGACAAAAGGCAGATGTGCTTAGTTTCTATTTTGACTCAGTCTTCCCCCAAAACAGGCTTTCCTGCTTCCCTGGCAAAAGTGGACAAGCTTCAGGGACAGGATTGTGGGAATGCTGTGCATACCATATATTGTCTTCAGAAAAACTTTTGACAAAGTGCCCAAGCTAGCAAACTAGCTTGCAGTGGGCTAGATGGAACAACTATCAAATGACTATGGAATTGATCTCAGAGAGGACTCTGGCAGGGGCCCCCCACTCTGGACCAGGACTGGGGAGGAGTTTTGGGGACCGGTGGGGAGGAGGACTGTTGTGTGGCACTTTAAGACCTGATGCTGCTGCAATGCCCCGCCCCCTCCATCTTTCCTTTTGGGATGCCACAAGGGTGAAAATGCCTTTCTGGCTGTCCCTCACACCCCCTGCCTTTGTGGGCCTATGCCTGAGGCCATGGCTGAGAGGGTGTCTATGGACTAAGTGGGGAGATAGTGTCGTCTCAGTTAGCATAGTGAAAGGTACAGGGAGATATGGCTCTGGGAGGACTGGCCAGGTAAAGAAATGGAGCCCAGACAGAATGGTTGTGCCATGTTCTGGTCCTCTCCACAACTCATGGGTTTGATGGTTGCCATGTCAGCCGACCCTCAGGTCTCCGGATGCTGCTTCTAAATGCCAGATCTGTGTGGAATAGAACCTCCTTCATCCATGATCAAATTGTGGAGGAGGCAGCTGATATGGCAGGTATAACCAAGACCTGGGTTGGTGAACAGGGAGGGGTCTCTCCCTGTTGTGACCACCTAGGTACTTGGTTCAGCATCAGTGTAGATGTGAGGGGTGTGGGGGGGGGGGGCGTTGCCATGGTCTATATGAATTCCACCTCTCCATCTGCCCTGTCTGATGACTAGTCTGTAGTGTTTGTACCTTGTGCTGGGCCAAGAGGAGAAACTGGGTATCCTGTCATGTACTGCCCACCCTGCAACCCATCAGTCTCCGTACCCGAGCTGATAGAGGGGGTCTTGGATGTGATGTTGGAGTCCTCCAGGCTTTTGGTCCAGGGGGCTTCAACATTCACATTGAGGGCACCCTTCCAGGACTTGGGATTCCATGGTTGTCATAACCTTAGCACTGGCCCAACGCACGTGGCAGGACATAGGCTAGACTTGATCTTCTTGGCAAGATTTGAGGATGGTGTCGAGTGTGGGAGACTTAGTCCTTTTGTTATGGTCAGATCACCACCTGCTGAGATTTAGACTTATGGTAGATTTCTCTCTCCATTAAGGTGGTCTGTCTCTGAAGGGTAGTGGATCCAGATGGTTTTAGAGGGCTCTGGGTGGATTTCTGGCTGACATGGCTGGTACTCCTGTTGAAGCACTGGTTGCTCCGTGGACATGATTGCTTCCAATTGCCCTCTTTGTTGCAGAGCTCATACAGCACTGAGGTACGAGTATTCCCTGATGCTGAGAGCGATGGAGCAACTTAGGAGAGGGCTGGAATACAGATGCAGAAATCCCAGTAAATGCAAGTGACACCTGGGATGTGCCTGCACTCAGGTCTATTCTGATACAGTGGGAGCAGCAAAGAAACAATACTCTCTCTGCCTCTAATTCCATCCTCTGTGTCACCCAGGAGAGCTTTTCAAGGTTTGGGGCTTCTAACACTCTGGCCCCAGGGGCACCTTGGAGCCAGCTTTGGCCTGCTGTAACCTACTTGCTGGGCACTTCCACAGAAAAAAAATCAGTTGCATCCACTAGGCCTTGGACTCCAGTTACAACAGTTGAATTGGTGGAGCTATTCAGAGTAGTCTGGTCCAGTTTTACTGGATAAATTTCAGTCAGCACAGCTTATGAATCTGGACAAGGTATTTGGACAGATCTGAGCAACCACTTCTCAGCTAGATCCTTGGTCCTCCTGGATTATAAAAGTCAGCAAGGAATTATCAGCTGGGCCAGGGAGGTCACCAATGGCTCTTGTGAGAGGGAGTGGCCCCATGCTGCCTTTTAAGAGGCCACTTCAAGAAACCCTTCCTTGACCTGGAATAACTGAATGACTTCAGGCTGATAGTATACATGCAGGAAAATGTTTCTGGATGCATCCCTTGTCACTTGAGGCTTAGGTGATACTGGCAGATCAGAGTGCCTTTTACCATTTTTGGCTGGTGGCCTTCTACCATTTTTGGCTGCACTCCTGGACAGGAATAGCCTGGCTTTAGTAACCTATGCTCTGGTATAGAGTACTGCAACAGAGACACATAGGGCTGCCCTTCAAGATTGCACAGAGGCTACAGCTGGTGCAGAATGCAGCAGCCAGAGTAGTAACTGGGACCTGGAGGTCCTACCATACAAGACCAGTTCTGGCCCACCTGTATTGGCTGCCAGTATGTCTCAGGTCCCACTTGAAGGTGCTGCTCTTTACAGGCTGCATATTGGTCAACAATGTGATGTGGATGCAAAAAAGGCAAATTGTATTTTGGGCTACATTAATACAAGCATTACTTCCAAATAATGTGAAGTGCCAATTCCCCTCTGCTCAACACTGGTTAGGTCTCATCTTGAGTACTACATCCAGAAAGATGCAGCCAGACTAGAAAAGGTTCCATGGAGGGAAACAAAGATGATCATGGAATCGAAGCCCTGTGAAGAGAGAATGAAATAATTGGGCATGTTTAACTTTGAGAAGACTAAAAGGAGATATAATGTCCAACAAGTACTTGAAAAACTATCATGGGAGTGGGCAGGACCTTTCCTCAGAGTGCAGGACATAAAATTACATGGGTTCATTTTACAAGCAGCCAAATACCAGCTGAACATTAGGGGAAAATCCCAGTAGAGCAAAGGAACCAATTACATCAAGTTATCATGGGCTGTCTCACACTGGAGGCATTCAGGATGCAGCTGGACACCCACCTGTTTAGGAATGCTCTGAATCCAGTGTTGGGTAGGGGGTTGGACCTGATGGCCTTATTGGCCCCATCTAGTTCTATGATTCTAGCATGGCAATGCAATTCAGCTGGGGAATTCCAAGAAAAGCTTCAGAATGGAAAACTTGTTGTGTGCTATTATTTCAGGTACAGAAAATTAAGCATACCTAACACAACATCACACACTGATCACAGTTCAGGCCTCTACTTCTGCAGGAATAAATATTGAAGGGCAGATTTGCCAACTCAATTTCATGTTCTCTGGAAATCAGACTCCACCAGACTTTCAAAAGTGAGATAATTGTTTCCTTTGCCAACTTACCTGACCTTTGCGCTACCTACAGGAGAAGCAAAGTATCTTTCTCTGTAACCAGCAAGGAAATGGAGCCAACTGGTAAAGGAAAGACACCGAACAGTCCAAGCCACTATATTCTCTAGCTGCTAAGATCTTACAAGTTCAAGCACTGCACAAGATAAAAGCAGCCCTGCTGGATCAGACCAAAGGTCCATGTAGTCCAGCACTCTGTTCAGAGTGGACAACCAACTGCAGCAACATCTTCCTGTTCAAGTTCCCCAGCAACCAGTATATACTACCTATGACCTTCCATAAGGCTTTCAGGACTAATGGCAACTGATAGCCTTATTTGCCACAAATTATCCAAAGTTCTTTTAAAGCCATCAAATTGCATTAGTGGATTTCAATAACTTAATAATGCACTGTATGAAGATGTATTTCCTGTTGACTGTCCTGGATCTCTCACCAATCAGCTTCATGGTATGACCTCAGGTTCTAATATTATGAGACATCTCCTACCTCCCAGTCATCATGCCTAGGGATACCATGCTGCAGTTTCAGATGTAGGGAGATGATAAGAGATACTGAATTTAGAGGCCAATTCTAGTGTTATGCTCTAGGTCTGTTAACATTTGTTTTTAATAAACAGGGTCACTCAAGATCAATATATCTTCCCTTCCAAAGAGATGTTCACAATTCCTATAGTGCTTCAGGACTACAGAGCCAACAGTCATTCTCCACTCTCCCAAGAAAACAGTGTGAATAGCAGACTGTCCAAGCTGCTCTTCAGAAAAAGAAATGATTCCAAGAAAGAAAAACAGATAACTTTTTTATTACAATCCATGGGCCAAATTCCAGAGACAACTGGTTCACTTCAGCTCTTTCACAGCCAAACCTAAAGAGAAAAGGAAATAAAGAAGCGGAAGAACTGTCAAGGGATTGATTGTTCTCCCATTACTTCTAGTTTTAACAGGCAAACACTCAAGAGTTATTCACTAAATCCCAGACAAAGATTGTTGAGGCTTGTCAGCAGTCTCCTGTGGGAGTGCACAACAGCATGATCTGCAACCAGGTGGCTTACCCAGGGCTTTTCATGCATGTACTGCTAGCATGCCTTTGCATGAAATGTCACTGAGCATCCAAAGTGCCCATGTCGTTCTTCACATAGGCTGAGCTTTTTAGGTCAGTGCTTATACAATTGCTCAGAACTTCACTCATGTTATAACCTTGGTGAATGCTTACTTCTCATTCTTCCCTGATTTTGGCTTCAAGGGTCTCTCATTTGAAACATCTTCTGAAGTTCATACCAAATACCAGTTTCCATTCTTATTAGTCACTGCTGTATGGGCTTCACCTACTCCAAAACAACTGTTTTGGTGGCCTGTTATCGGGTCTTTTTAAAGCTGTTGACATTAGCTTAAGTTGCACCAAACTGATTTAAAATGTATTTTATTTTTAAAGATGTATATCATGCCTCTATTAAAAACCTGACTGTAATACAAACCAAAGCAGTAAAATCTGAATCTAAAGCTTGCTTTTATGTGCATAAGAACAAAGTATGGAAATATTTATGCTTGTCAACCAAACATCACAAATAAAGCCACAATGCTAGCTAAGCTGAGCAATTAGGTTCCTTGATGTCAAAGCAATACTTTACTACTTCCACAGAAATTAATGGGAGCTGAATGTGTTTGGCTAGGCAGTACCCTTATTTACTATGTTTTGGAAGATTTCCAGTACATTCCTAACATAAATTTTTATGCAAGTTTTTCAACTGCGTGGTGGCCTTTCAGCTTCAGGCTTTTCCAGATGGTACAGATTATAGCACCATGATCAGGGTAGTTCCAGTTATCCTACAACATCTCTTAGCGGGAAGGATATAGGATAGGTAAAGCATGTACTGCACCACTTGCCATCTAACTGGGACAGCAAATACTGCCAGGAGAACCAGATTGTTATTGTCTGCTACTGAGTAGAATGGGGATTCCTCTTCTTGATAGCCTCCAGGGACAGGACTACAAAGGAAGCCTTTACAGACCCTTCCCTGGCCTATGGGGTTCCATCATGACCTCTGAACTGTTTGCTATGCACATGGAAGCACCGGAGATGACACCAAATGCCAATGCCAGAATGACATTACACAGATGATACGAACTTTTCTATCTTTTTTTCCAGAGAGGCCACAGGCTATAATGGATTGGATAGTATTAGACAGAGAAGAGCTGTTCCTGGTTTGTGGAGCACATTCAGGATCCCAGATCTACTTTGGTTTGGATGGGATGGCACCTCTTGGAAAAATGGGTTCATAGTTTTGTAGTTCTCATCAAGCACCTTTTTCCAGTTTAAGCTGGTGTCACTTACATCTGCTCCATATTGAGCACAGTAACAGATGGCTTTATATGTTACACCTATATGACTGCAATGGGCTCTGCACAGAGGTGTCTTTGAAGAGTGTGTTGAGAAACTACAATTTGCTGAATCAGTTTAACAGTTGCTCTATATAGTGACTGTCTGCATTCTGTACTGAAACAGCCACACTGGCTCCCGTTTTGTTTCTCAACCCAATTCAAAGTGCTAGAGTTAACCCTTAAAGTCCTCTTTGGTTTGGAATAAGAACATCTACAAAGACTGTACAAATCTGTGTTCCCCTGCCATGGAAACCACATCAGATGCTCTCCTGTTTGTGGCAACTTTCTCAGAAAACAGCCTAAGAAGAAGGCCCTTTCAGTGACTACACCCAGGATCTGTAGCATCCCCCACCCAACAAGGTGTATTTCAGGCTGCCAAACCTGCACCACTGCCTGCTGCAAGATAGTCAAAGCCTTGTTTTTTAGACATTCTTTGGGACCATAAATTGAGTATACCCTTTTGGACATGGTTTTAATTGCTCATATTTTGCTCTGATGTTTTAAAGTTATGTGACTGCATTTAGGATATTGTTAAACTGTTTGAAACACTGTGAAGTAATTATAACTGCTATTACTTAGCTTGGGCTTTCTGAGGACATGCAGCTATGAATGTGTTAATCAAATGATCCCAAGCTAGCTTGCCTGTAATCACATAATTCTGTAGTGCGTAAGGTACACAAACTGTATGTTCAAAGATTCTGGATTATGCTTTTAGGTAATACAAAGGCTCTACTTTATTGCAAACCAGCATGTTTTAACTGGTATTAACTACGAATTAGCATGTATGCTTTTTCAGGAAATTATATATGAAAGTCATTCAATGGGAAAACAGATTTGAATCAATTATTGTATTTTTCGCTCTATAAGACACACTTTTTCCCCCCTCAAAAGGGGAAATGTCTGTGCGTCTTATAGAGTGAATGTGTGCGTGCCCGATGCCCGGGACGCTGCCAGCCCGCCTGCACCACATGGCACCACCTGGCTGGCACGCGCTCAGTGCGCCCTGCTCCGCGCCCCCCCTCTGGCACAGGTGAGAGCTGTGCCGCTCAGGGGGAGAGGTGCAGAGGAGCCGTGGGCTTTAACCCGCCGGCCACACAGAGAGACAGAGTGCTCACTCCCACCGCCCGGGAAGACCTGCCGTCACTGCCCGGAAGACCACCACCAGCATGCTGCCGGCCCCACATGGCACCACCTGGCTGGCACGCGCTCGGCGCGCCCTGCTCCGCCCCCCTCCTCCAGCGCAGGTGAGAGCTGTTAATCACAGGTCAGTGTGTGTTTTCAAATGGCAACCTGTCTTTTAATGAAGCCCATGGGGAAGTGATGGGGAATGTGCCTGTGATTATCAGGAAGCTTTCCATGGATCAGTTATCTGTTAGTTGATCAGACACATTTTTTTTTAGGATCAGTGGATATTTGAACAGCACTACCTTCGTGTAAGAAGTTTATTCTTCAAAGGCTACTTAGTCTACTGTGCATTTTACCATACAATATCTCATTTTGTCAGAAGTTTTTTTCTATTATTTACTAGTAGGGCAGTGTGGACATTACTGGCTTTTTTAGATTTGTTATTGAATTGTCTGCAGCAGCTCTTGTATAACTGGTGTAGATTGTGGATTCCTTCAATAATTCCACTAATAAGAAAGTGATGTCAGTGATTGTGAGCAACAGAGCTTCATAAATTCTGACTCTAGTGATGATGAGTTCTATGGGTTCAACGAAAACTAGAAGAGTACTCGAACTTTAAAGTCTCCCTTTTGTTAATGACAGTGATAACGGTTCTTAATGCCACTGTTGACTGCTGTTCACTTTACAAGGTTGAAATACGGTATTACTGTATTCTGTTATAGTTTAGTAAACCATTTGATTCAGAATATTTTTTTTCTTGTTTTCCTCCTCTAAAAACTAGGTGCATCTTATGGTCAGGTGCGTCTTATAGAGCAAAAAATACGGTAAGTATTTTTCTTGCTGGTTTAAAACAATTAGCTCCCAAAGTTATACTGAAATTCTGCATGGTTTTAAAACTCTGTGTTAACAGAATGGAATAAATGAAAGATTAGATTTATTTCTCTTCAAACAGGCAGAAAAGTCTAAACTATTGACAGTACTTGTTGGGGGCATGCTGGGATCTTTACGACCCTTTACTGTCCAAGCAATAGCTAGGACTGCTCATTTTTGAATGGTTAAACTAGCAACCTCTGAAAAAGAGTTATATGATGGCCCAAATCAATTAATCTCTATGCACTCTGAGGACACTATAGTGCTGGGCATAGAAGTGTAGAGGTCCACATGTCAGAGATTATGTTCCCACTGTATTTGCTTTTTTGCAAGTAGCTTCACATACAACTGGCAAGTTTTTGAGACTCAGCCAGTGTTCTAGAAGCATACAGGAGGAAACATTCACCTAGCCACTTAACAAATAGGACTTTTCCATATATGACACAGCAAAATGCCCCCCACCTTGTTCTGTTGCATAAAACTGCAGATATAAAAAGAGCATGTGAAATATAAACAAAGAGGAAGTATAAAAGGATTGAGAGGTTACACTTATACTGCCCATCTATGTGACCCCTATTTCTTTTCATGGTTCAGTTACCTGGTGGCAGAGACTGTTTCAATTTTTCAGCCTTTTCCTTGTCTGTGATGACCAGTGTATAAAGATACCGGCTGCAGCGCACCTTGAACTTCACGTTATCTTTGTTTTTCTTGATTTTGACAGCTGCAATGCAATATGGCAATCAGCATTACATAGTTATTTCAAGAAACAGGCTGTCCAGAAAAACAATACGATCATCAGCTAGTATGAAACAACCTTCTTCTGAATCAAGACATTTGATTAAATCCTGCTTTATCTTGTGGTGGACAGCTATTACAGACAAGTGACACTGCAACTGTTTTGCCATTACTTTTTGTTCCCATGAAAGTGTCCCCTTTCTCCAATGCACATCACTGTATAAATCTTGAAATGAAATATTTTATCAGGGAAAAACTTTTTTAAAGACTCATACACAAAGCCAAGCTAACCAAATTCAATTGGCTGCTGTATTATCTTGTACTCTATACATTTCTACATGATATCGACATCTTTACACATTACACCTTTAATTTACATTTCATATGTTTATGCAAATCTATACAAATTTTTATCTCCTTGTTATAACAAAGAATGCCCTAGGATTCCATAGAATATAATCTGAGCTCTACCCTCTTTCTGGCTCCCCACATGGGAGTAAATATTGTACACAGCATTTTCTCAGCAGACCAGAGTGTCTTCAGCAGCTGCTGTAGTGAAGCAAAGCCAATGAACACTGCCACAAAGGTATGTGGCATTTGAATGCACCACTCATGACAATTCTGTTATTTAATGAATTGTTCAGTGCCATCAGAGCAGATTTGTTATATCTCATGGTTTTGTAGGATTAGTCTGTTTTCTGGGGTGGTCAGTTCCAGATACTTTGGCCTGAAATTCCCTTCAGTCCTAGCCAGCATACACAATGGTGATACATGATGGAAGTTGTAGGCCAAAACATTGGGAGAGCCACCAGTTAACCATCCCTGTTTGTACGTATCTTTTCAAATAATGCCTTCAACCAAATACATGCTTATTTTCAAACTGGGCTTATAGTGGCTGTTTTATAGAAAAGCTGAAATAAACAGCTAAAGTTAATGTGCATGTGGGTGTAACTTTTTGTATGAGTAGAAAAATTTTTGATACTATCTAGTGAGAATGACCCTGGGTGAGAAAATAAAACTTCAGCATAACAGAATTAAAACAATGTGTTCTGTGGCACTCAAGAAAGTAGTTCCTTTCCTTATATTGCTTCAGATTTCTAACACAGAAGGTACAGCACAGACCCTGCCTATTTACAGAACAGTTTTTATTACTTAGGAAAATCATAAATTTGAAATGCTCTAGTGTAGAAGACATTAACTGCATTTACAGGTTGGAATTTAACTGTCTGGACAATGTTTGATACGAATGCACTGGTTATACTCAAACTAAATCATTGCAGTACTCTCCAGAGAGGCTGACCTTGAAGACAGTTGAGAAATTCCAGCTGGTACAAAACAGGGCTACCAGGATGCTAGTAGTAGAAAGAGATCAGCTCACACCACACCGGTTAACAATGTGTTTCCAGGCTAGATTCAGGGAGCTGACCTTTAAAACCCCAATTGCCTAGTACCTATTTACCAAAAGGACCACCTTTGACCATATGAGCCTGAGTATGAATATCACCTTAAGTGCCACTCTCAGGTCCCTCATTAAATTAGACCAATTGATAAGTATCAAAAATAGCCTGTTTTGCAGCAGTAGCAAGACTCTGAATTCCATCTTTGGTGGAATCCATCAAGGCTTTTTTCTGTACCTTTCCCCCCTCGCTTCCAGTTGGATTTATATGCTTCACTGTATGGTAACTAGTTCACCCATTCTGCATTTCCTACGTGAATTTTAAATATTGGTTTTATTGCTGCAATTTGAAGCCGTGGTAAAAAGGTTTGTGTAAAACCAGATGGGGATTTTTCTGTTATAAACTGTTTGTTGCTACAATAAAAGCTTGCGTTAAGACACAGTCTTATGACTTAAGTTTGAAGTGCCATTAGCTTTGTCACAAAGAACCCTGGTACTTGTTAAAAATTGTTATATTTAGCATGCCCCACCCCATCCTGGTTAAAAAAAGCCCTGCTCTTTTGAAAGGATATAGCCACCTATAATGCACAAATATTATCCCTCCACCCCAAGCTAACATATCCATGTCTCTAAGACAGGGTGGGTACAATCATGACAAAATTATGTTATAAATCTACTTTTATTATTTATTTATTTATTTGGGAGACTTCTATGCTGCCCCATTCACCGACACCTCGGGGCGGCTCACATTCATAAATAAACTTCCATAGAATAATATAAATTAACAGTATAAATTAAGTCGCCCTGGCCAAAGAATAAAATGAATAAATACCATTAACAGTTAAAATGACATTTGAATAAAAAAGTCTTCGCCTGGCGCCGAAAAACAAATAACGATGGTGCCAGGCGGAGCTCTCTGGGGAGCGCATGCCATAGATTGGGCACCACCGCAGAGAAAGTGGGCACCACCGCAGAGAAAGCCCTCCTCCAAGTATTCACCCTCCTAATTTCCTTCACAGAGGGCTCCCGGAAAAGGTCCTTTCCCGCAGATCTCGGGGGATGGGCGGGCATATATGGATGTAAGCACTCCTTCAGGTAACCAGGACCCAAGCCGTTTAAGGCTTTATAGGTCATCACCAACACCTTGAATTGGGCCCAGACTTCAATGGGAAGCCAGTGAAGCTGACGGAGGACTGGAGTCATGTGAACATAATGCCCAGTCCCCGTCAGCAGCCTGGCAGCTCTATTCTGAACCAATTGAAGTATCCGGACCGTCTTCAAGGGTAGCCCCACATAGAGCACGTTACAGAAGTCAAGGCAGGAAGTCACCAGCGCATGTGTCAATGTCGCCAGGCAGTTGTACTCCAGGTAGGGGCACAACTGATGGATCAGCCAAAGCTGAAAGAAAGCGCTCCTCGCCACCGCTGTCACCTGAGCTTCTAGACACAGCTCTGGGTCAAGGAGCACTCCCAAGCTGCGAACCTTGCCCGTAAGTGGGAGTGCAACCCCATTCAGGACTAGGTTCAATTCACCCTCCCCGAAGCCCGATCCACCAACCAACAGGACCTCCGTCTTGTCTGGGTTGAGTTTCAGTTTATTGGCCCTCATCCAGCCCATTACCTCAGCCAGGCACCAGTTCAGCACAGCCATTGCCTCACCTGGACTGGTGGAAAATGAGAGGTAGAGCTGGGTATCATCAGCATACTGATGATTCCGCAGCCCACACCTCCTAATTACCTCTCCTAGTGGTTTCATGTAGACATTAAACAGCAAAGGGGACAAAATGGACCCCTGCGGTACTCCATGGCATAGCTGCCATGGCGCAGAGCCATAGTCCCCCAGCACCACCTTCTGGAATCGGCCATTGAGATAGGAGCGGAACCACTGCAAAGCAGTGCCTCCAACCCCCAATCCCGCTAGCCTATCCAGAAGGATACCATGGTCAGTGGTATCAAAAGCCGCTGAGAGGTCCAGAAGAACCAACAGGGACACACTCCCCGTCCTTCTCCCTGCACAGGTCATCGTACAGGGTGACCAAGGCAGATTCAGTACCGTACCCTGGTCTGAAGCCGGACTGAAATGGGTCCAGATAATCAGTTTCATCCAAGAGTGCTTGGAGTTGTCCCGCCACCACCCGCCCCAACACCTTGCCCAGAAATGGGATGTTGGCCACTGGTCTATAATTAGTGGCCATCTCTGGATCCAGTGATGCTTTCTTCAGGACCGGTCGGACTACCGCCTCCTTTAAAGGGGCAGGCACTCGACCCTCCCTCAGAGAAGCGTTAACCACTTCCAAGATCCAGATCCCAATCCCGTGCTTGGCGTTATTAACCAAGATGGGCAAGGGTCCAATAGGCAAGTGGTGGGGCATACTCGTCCAAGCACCTTGTCCACATCATCAGGCCGCTATAACTGAAATTCATCAATTAATTTTGGACCAGACGGCAACATTGGTATCTCCCCAGAAGCCTCTGAATCACTAGTAGAGTCTAGCTCATGACGAATCTGAGCGATTTTCTCCCTGAAATGCTTGGCAAAGTCGTCACAGCAGGCCTTCGAGGGTGGAACCAGATCTTTCTTAGGGTCAGGGCGGACCAGGCATTGTACCACTCGAAAAAGCTCGGCCGGATGGCATTTTGAGGAGGCAATGGAAACGGAAAAGAATTTCTTTTTTGCCGCCCTCACCGCCACAGCATAGGCCCGATAATGGGCTCTTAAGTGTGTTCGGTCAGATTCATCCCATGATCTCCTCCACGGGAGGGGATTTTATGTATAATACCAAGTTGGTGGGCAAAATAATGATTTCAGGGACTGTAGGATACTATTGACATCCCTTTCAGAAGTGGAGGGAAAGGGGAAGATCCATTGAACTTTTCCCTTTACCAGCAAGCAGCAGCTCTGCCGCCCTAATATTTGTAAGGATGAAATGGAGAAAGAGTCAAACTGAAGGATTCTTGGGTACTTTTTTTTTTTTAAGGATAAAACCTGCTCCCCCAGCTGATGAACCTTCCTCTCCCACTCCTCTCACAAAATATTGCTCTGTACCTTTGCATAAAAGCTTGACTTTCACTATGACTGAAAAGGAGTTTTTATACCCAGAGAGCGCATTGAATTAAATTATTCCAGGCAGGTATTATTCCTGAATACCTGTTCATGATATTCTTCCTCAGCCCCCACATTATATACAAACCCATCACAGATCCATCATATGTTAAACTATGGGTTATTTGAGTGTTGTTTCCTGCTCCAACAAGTCATATTGACTGAATTCGGCAGGCAGATGATCAGAAAAATGGTGCCTAGGATACACTGTGGCCTTTTTAACTTGCAGTGAGCATGTGAATAGGCCTAGTATGAACACATAACTATGGCTCAGCCTTTTGCATTTCCTTCCTACTCCCCTTCAAAAGCATGCTAGGTAAATACTCAAATATATAAAAAAATGTTAACTACACAAACTCCTTGGGCTTAGATGTTTTGTCTACTTTTGGGACAGTAACACATGACAGTTCATCATAAGAAATGGCTCCCACAATGAACAACATACAACTTTCAGTCCAATAAAGCCCTATCTGCTTTAAAATTTGAGTGGGAAAGAGAATTATGGTTTCACCGCAATCTGACTAAGCAATATAAGTCAGACAGCTTCAGCTACTGGGAGGTAAATAATATGGGCCAGAAAATAAAAATTCCACTGACTTGCTAAAGTGTAAAACCCATTGTTACAAGCACACTGTTTTCTGTGAAATAGGCTTTGTACCAGAGCAGCAGATGATATGAAGGACCAAAAGATAAGAATGTGCAATATTGTTGGTATTAAAAACATTAACTGGAATACAGGAGGTATCCAAGACTGAAACCCCTTGGGACCAATATCAAGTAATACAAATAAAGCAAAAGCTGTAAGTTATTACTTACACTTCGCATCTTTCCTTCTAGCTGTCAGTAGAAAATCTTTGATCTCTTCGATTTTGCGAGGCTGAAATATGCGGAAGAAATAGCCCTTAAATGCAAGTGTGATGGGTTGCACAACTCTAAGGCATACTTGACTTCCAGTTCTACAGCCTTATCAACCTTTCCTTTGGTGCTGAACCTTACCTCATAATCCAGGGAACACACAGCTTGCAAATGACATTAACTAATTTCTAGCTAGGTTTCCCCCTTCTGGGCAAGCCCACTCAATCACCTTTTCATCCCAAAGGGAATACAGGAAAGGTTACTGGTTGAGTGCTGCCTAAAGGTGTGCTGCGCATCTTCAACAGCATTGACTTCCATCAGCCTTTCCTGAGAGAAGAGCTGACTGGCAGCATGCTGGGTTGAGTGCCAATACATGAAGCAACCTGTGTTTACAAAAGAGATGCTTCCCAACTCAACCCTGCCAAAACTTCCCCAAGATGATGGCTTTTTAAATATTGGATAGGCACCTCCATTTGCAGGTGAGCAGAGTATCATCAAGCAATTGTTCTAACCTCTCCATGCCGATTACTACTCCAGGAGCTTTGGTCATACAACTACCAAATAGCCCACTAGCCTTACATCCAACCTTAGAGCTTGTCAAGTTCAGACTGCCACTGATGAGAAAGTCTGCTTAGCTTTGCAGCTGGGGAGAAACTGGCTACTCATGTTTCCAGAGAACATCAAAACACTTATGGGTAGAAGATTCTCTGGTGCTTGTTCTGCACCCTAGAGATCCCTCTCTATATATTTTAAGGAATTCTCCAGACCTCGAATTTGGAAGATTAGAGAAAAGGTCCTTCAAATTGTAATTAAGTGCACATATAAAGCATTTCCTTCATGGACTTCTTGGAGATTTCCCAGAAGGACATAGCTAGCCAATGTTAGAATAAGCTGCTGGGGTGAGGGCTCTAATCCAGTAGGGGCTCCAAACGCTTGTACTCAGCACCCCTCTTCCTGCATACACGAATACATTTTGCTTCTCCATATTTGCAGCAATGTAAATCGCAAAACAAGTTTTCCCCGCTCCTACCAAGAAGGAAAGGCCCACCTCCCCCCCCCCTTAATGCGCCATACTTCCTAAACCGCCACCTGAACCCAAGTGCACCCTCAAATGGAAACATGCCCAGGAGAATTTTCGCTTCCACTCACCATGGTGACGGTTCAGGCGACGGGTGCCTGCAGAAAAGAAATCAAAATGGCAGATTCGCGGGAAAACGAGGGGGGACGACGCAAGCCGAGCAGCTTTTCCCACTGAATCCCTCCTCTGCCCCCCAAGCCCACGCGTTATGTCCCGCGCTTCCCACCGTTCCTCCTTTATCCCCTTACCACCTCCCCTTCACCGCCGGCAGCACGGATGGCGCCAGATGGAAACCACCACTTACCGAGACGATCAACGCAGCACCCCAGCGCCCGGGAGAGAAAAAGAACAAGCACTTCCGCATCCGGGTAATTTAACCCGGCCGGGTGTAAGAGCAACGGAAGCCTAATAGGGTCGTAAAGTTGAAGGCCGGTAAACCGCCCTAATTTAGAATGGGAATAATGTTTCTAGTCGAAGACTAATTTAACTTATCACTCCCAGCGTTTCATTCGATCTGCATTGTTAATTGGTACTCATTCATATAAATAGTTTCATGCTGTGTTCGTGTTGCCAACGATGGTTTTGTATTAAAGGTAAAAAAATGGTTACTTCGTATAGTGCTATATTAGCTCCTATGTATTCGTAGCTCGCTCCTGTACTTGACTGTATGGAATTCTTGCATGAAGTAATCTCCATACTCTGAAGGCATAACTTGATATCTATCTAGCAAAGGAGAAAAGTTCTACAATTCCCGCATCCCTCCAAACAGTGCCCGGAGGAATGCTGGGAATTGTAGGCCGCTCGCGCGCCCCCCCCCCCCCGGTCTAAACACTTACCGGATTGAGGTCTCATATATTCTGATAGTTATATATTGAGAAAAATTTGAAAGTTCGTTAGTCAGCTTACAGTGGGGAGAGTGAATGCTGGAGAGGTGCATGGCTGATTTCAGCGCTCCCCCCCTCCGCTAAATACACCCCCCCCCCGCTTCCTCGATGGTGTTGCCGGTGCTTGTTTGCTTTCCTTCCCTTTGGGGCCAGCTGACAGTAGGCATGATTATTAGTAGAGCTGTCCTTAACGCTCGCTCATGGAGCAGCCCACTCTCTCAGAGAGGGTAGCAAAACAAGTAAGGAAGAGAAGCAGGACCAGGAGATGAGCAGTGTGGCAGACATCTGAAAATACAAAACATTGGGCTTGATCCTGCTTCACAGCACTCTCTCTCTTGCTTTCTTTTTTCTGGGAACAATGGATCACAACCGACAATATTATAGACATGATTACAACATTTATTATTTTAAAAGTTCCTACATTATACATTTTAACATAAGTTTCAAAAGCATTAAAAAGTATGTGTTTGTGTTAGTTTTTTTTTTTTTGCAGAAACACATTGTCACCACCCTTATGCCACTAATTGACTGTGAGTAAAAATTGTTAGAGAGTGGGCCTGTCACTCGCTCATTACAGACTGTTCAAATAGATTTGTCTAACTCTGAGGAGTGGGGCGAGGACTTTGCATTTTCAAGGTGATCTAGTGAAGTTTCTCAGGCAGATCATGAGAACTGTCCTGCTTTGGAAAGGGATAAAAGATTTTCAGGATGGGAGTGGGAGCAGGTGCAAGACCTAGTCCTTGACCCCATAAAGAGGCCATGGAAGAAAGGAGCTGCTCAGTTAGAGGGCTTTTGCTGTTCCTACCAGCTTGCTCTCAAGCAGCAAGAGTCACTCTGAAGGTAGAGCCAGAAGCTTTACTGAAAAGGATGGACAGAGGGGAAGGTTCCACTTAGGATTCCACTCTTTTACATCAGCAGATGCTTCTTCCTCAACTTTAATAGAAGGCTATGCTGAGGTCACACTGTTCTGTAATCTGTTGCACTTCAATAAAAGAACTGCATTTCAAAAGAGTGCCTTGACTTTGCTAACCAGAAGCAAAGAAGGAAGGGACCAACTCATGACAAAATCAACTTATCTGTGCAAGTCTACTAGCAAAACATTTTCCCATCAATTTCTAATTTTGGATTTCAATACAAGGCCAATTTAGCATGCAAATATAGTCTCTAGTTACTGTAACTGTGGGAAGAACCCTAACTGTTTTAATTTGTTGAGAGCCTAATGCCAACCATTTGGAAGGAAGATCCAGACAAAAAATCCCAGAACTGACTAAAATGCAGAAGATTAAAATTCAGTATAACAGATACAAAGCAAAATCCAGAAAGCCAAACCTACCTTTCATGATGTAATGTTGCAACCTTTTCAAGGATATGCACATGCAGAAGAAATATGAAACAAAGAATTGAAGTTTTGAAAAATGTTTTATATCTATTTTTTTCAAGTTTCACTACATGAAATGACTCAGAGGAAAAGTATTCCTAGGTAAGGAATAAAATCCAGGCATCCAGGAATCGGAGGTCTCTGAGGAGTCACCAATGCTACCGTCTGGTCCAAAATTATTGGAAGAATTTCAATTATTGCGGCCCGATGATGTGGACAAGGTGCTTGGACGAGTACGTCCCACCACTTGCCTATTGGATCCTTGCCCGTCTTGGTTAATAAATAACTCCAAGCACGGGATTGGGACCTGGATCTTGGAAGTGGTTAACGCTTCTCTGAGGGAGGGTCGAGTGCCTGCCCCTTTAAAGGAGGTGGTAATACGACCCTTCCTGAAGAAAGCGTCACTGGATCCAGAGATGGCCACTAACTATAGACCTGTGGCCAACATCCCGTTTCTGGGCAAGGTGTTGGAGCGAGTGGTGGCGGGACAACTCCAAGCACTCTTGGATGAAACTGATTATCTGGATCCTTTTCAGTCCGGCTTCAGACCCGGGTACAGTACTGAATCTGCCTTGGTCGCCCTGTACGATGACCTGTGCAGGGAGAAGGACAGGGGGAGTACATCCCTGTTGGTTCTTCTGGACCTCTCGGCGGCTTTCGATACCATCGACCATGGTATCCTTCTGGATAGACTTGCGGGATTGGGGGTTGGAGGCACTGCTCTGCAGTGGTTCCGCTCCTATCTCAACAGTCGATTCCAGAAGGTAGTGCTGGGGAACCATGTCTCTACGTCATGGCAACTATGCCATGGAGTACCACAGGGCTCCATTCTATCCCCTCTGCTATTTAACATCTATATGAAACCGCTGGGAGAGGTCATCAGGAGGTGTGGGCTGCGGAATCATCAATACGCTGATGATACCCAGCTTTACCTCTCGTTCTCCACTAATCCAGGTGAGGCAGTGGCTGTGCTGAACCGGTGCTTGGCCGAGGTAAGGGAATGGATGAGGGCAAATAAACTGAAACTCAACCCAGACAAGACGGAGGTCCTGTTGGTTGGCGGATCGGGTTTCGGAGAGGGTGGATTTGACCTGGTCCTGAATGGTGCAACACTCCCTCTTAGGGATAAGGTCCGCAGCCTAGGAGTACTCCTCGACCCAGAGCTTTCTTTGGAAGCTCAGGTGACAGCGGTGGCGAGGAACGCCTTCCTTCAGCTTCGGCTGATTAATCAGCTGCGCCCCTACCTGGAGTACGACTGCCTGGCGACGGTGACACACGCGCTGGTGACTTCCCGCCTAGACTTCTGTAACGCGCTTTACGTGGGGCTGCCCCTGAAGACAGTCCGAACACTTCAATTGGTGCAACATAGAGCGGCCAGGTTGCTGACGGGGACGGGGCGTTATGCTCACATGACTCCAGTCCTCCGTCAGCTTCACTGGCTTCCCATTGAAGCCCGGGCCCAATTCAAGGTGTTGATTATGACCTATAAAGCCCTAAACGGCTTGGGTCCTGGCTACCTGAACGAGCGCTTACGTCCGTATATGCCCGACTGCCCTTTGAGATCTGCGGGAGAGTCCCTTCTCCGGGAACCCTCCATGAAAGATATTAGGAGACTAAGTACTCAGAGGAGGGCTTTCTCTGCAGTGGCACCCAACCTATGGAATTCACTCCCCAAAGAGGTCCGCCTGGCACCGTCGTTACTGGTTTTTCGGCGCCAGGTAAAGACCTTTTTATTTAAACATCATTTGAATTGTTAAAACATATGATCTGGCCAGGGCAACTTCTTCTCCCTTCTCTTTCTCCTCCTATATTTTTATTTACTTAAGTTATACTGATAATCTTAATCTTATATTTGTAAACCAATGTATTTTTTGTATTTTGTATTTAATGGTAATTTATTATGTGCTATTGTATTTCATTGTATTTTATCGTGTTGTAAGCCGCCCCGAGGTTTCGGCAAGGGGCGGCATAGAAATGTTATAATCATCATCATCATCATCATCATCATCATCATCATCATTAAAGTTGCCAATCAGCTAATTAAGTATTTAATAGACAATCTTCAATTAGAATCAATTCAGACTTTGCCTGTTTAATAGAATAGCCAAAGATATTCAACAAGCCTGAAGTGCCTGATCCTGCCTAATCTTGGAAGCTAAGCAGGGTCAGGCCTGGGCAGAAGTGGGATGGGTGACCTGTGTGTATGATTCTATGATTATTGCTGTCAACTGCCTAGAGAGCTTTGGCTATGGGCAGTATAAAAATGTAATAATAAAAAAATGTAATAATAATAATGTCATCAAAGCTGGAGTAGATGTTTGCAGTACAAAATAGTAAAATCAACTGTATAAAGAATAATTTTACACAGATGTGCACAAAGCTATTAATGCTATTTTTCTGTCTACTAATACACCCCAGGTTCCAAATATAAATATCAAGCAAGCAAATGGACACCCCTGTCTGATATCTCTCTGAAATAAAAAGGCACCCCCCGTAAAAGGACATAAGTCACAACTGTAGCTCTAGAAGTTGAGTTTATCAGGAAAGCCAAAATCAGTCAATTAATTTTCAGTATCCAAAGAAACAGCAGCAGCCTTATCTCTTCTATCTTAGTCCAAGGGCACAGTCCTATGCTCTGCATCCTCAGTGCTTGCAAGCCTCTGAACCTGGAGGCTTATAGGCACCCTATACCAGTCACAGCAGCCATGATCTCCAGTAGATAAAATGTCAGGGAGGGCGAGGGAAGAAGCCGGGAACCCTGATAGGAATTGGCAGAGGTCTGCAGCCCCAGCCTCCTCTCCCCTCCCTTCTTCAAGGCCCAGTTGCCACTGCAGGGTGAGAGGCCAGTTCTTTCTAGCTGGCGGTGGGCAGGGAGTGGCTGGGCAGGGGCTTGGCTTTCAGAGTCCCAGCGTGAAGATCACAGATCTCACAGCCAGGACTCCAAATAATTCTATGGCTTTCTAGACAATGTTGGGAGGCCATAAGATTGTGCCCTAAAGCTGGAAAAATCCACAACAGATCTAAGATTATTGACTCCCTGCCTATGTTGGATAAATCCCACCTATGCGATTGAAACAATGTTGTAATAACTTGTTACAATCTGTCAGCCACAATTGCAGTTAATGTAT